TTTCTTCTTATTTTTTAATTGTGATTCTTTAGATTTGTTAGTCTATGGAGCATTTTCAATTCTCAGATTATACATATGTAATAAAATATGTTCATTAAAACTCTTAGATTATATGCATATATGACAATATATAAATATACGACAATATATACATATATGACTATATATATATATAGTATGTTGTAAAGTAGGTCTATATGCACTGGGCAGGGACTGTTTATTACTAACATATGTGACCACTAAAGAAATAACAAAAAGTCCTTTTAAAAGCCTTATAATTCCCAAAACATGCTATTAAAATTTCTAAGGAGAAAACAATAACAACAATAAAATTCTCACTCCCTAATATCTATTCAGCTAAATTGTATGATATCATTTAATTATCTTAAAAAGAAATGTCAGTGCATTAAATCATATATACCCAATGCAACTATATGATCAACTACTTGTAATAAATGTCCCTTTTCTGAAAGACTAAGAATAGTTTCTGCTTTTGCAACTGGATCCTGACAAATAGTAACTTAGGAAATCTGCACATTCTCGTAGGACTAGAAGAAGGTCTTTACGTATGGGGTACCTATATGACAGACATTTTTCTTCCCAATGTGTTACATTCCCTTATGCCAGTTGCTCCATCATATTTTTTTCATATCAGTTATTCCCTTACTGTTGTCAGATATACCTTAATTAAAGGATATCTTCATTATGAAATGTGTTTTTTTAAATGTATTTCTCGTTTTTATTTCCAGGTGGTCTCACTGCCTAAGACATCAAAAGAGAAAGCCTGACAAACTTACACCATCTTGTTATCAATATTAATGCTACAGGTATAATCCTGCAGCAGCCATGTACACGTTTTTAGCCTTTAAAACCTAAGCTTCATATATAGGTTTTAGGAGTTACTATACATAAGATGTACACATCTGCATATATATATATGGGTGTGTGTTTAAATGTTCACACTTACAAACTTTAATGATACTCTCTAAATTAATATATAAGGTTTATATAAATAATAAGTTTGCATTGCTGGCTAAAAAATTATGCATTTCTTTTAATATAATGCAAATCTCAATAATCTCACATATTCATGGTTTTTTTGCCACATATCTAAGTAAATTAATCTTAGCTTATGGAGTATTTTGCAGGAACAGCATTCAACACTGCAGAAATTAGTTGTAGGTGTCTTAATTACATTTATATATCAGTGTATTTGGTGGGGAAAGAAGATAAAAAATAAAACATTTAAACATAAAATTAAAATAAAAAATAAAATATGACATTTATTTATAATAGATGTCATAATTTGATCATATTCATAGGAAAAAAAATTAATAAAAAATTTAAATGCAGAAAAATATATACATACACTACATAAATTAACAATAAAATTAGTACCATGGTTACTTGTTGAAGTAATACACTGTCCTAAATATGTTTCGTTATACCATGTTCTCTCAGAGTTAACACCCTCATCCTGCAAATAAAAGATATATTCTCAAATTCTACAATTATTGTGTGTGTATTTTCAACAGTTGTGATTTTTATGTCAAGATAAATTATGATAATATTAGCAACTTTTAAATTCTATGCTGTGTGACTTATAGGCCTCATTTCTAATTTAATAAGGTATGTACGTATTTGATATTTTCATAAAAGCAATACAGGGTTTGGCCAAGAAGTTTTGCCATCTGTGAAAGGCACACATTTGATGCTATTATAAGCCATATTAACTGGAGAACATTTCTAAAATACTTCTATTTCACATGCAAATGTTATACTCTCTATATTGATGGATTTGTTTC